GAGGGGCCGCGGTGAGGTGCGTGGAGCATCCGGAGGGAGTCAGACCCAGGGCTTGTGCAAAGCTGGGGGCCGTGCCGGTGAGGAGATGCTGTTCATCGAGCGGTGCCGTTACTTGGAATCCTCTCTAATACTGCAAAGCCCTATAAACGCCTCTTGTTGGGAGGCAGTGTGTCTTCAGTTGCAGTGTATTGCAAAGCGCAAAAATATCTTGCTTCTGTGGATTGAATGTTTCAGTGAGGAAAGATGCGTTGTTTGGGGTTTTTTTTCTTTGTGCAGGAAAGTTTGGTGCTGCAGTCTCCTGATGCTCACAGGAAAGTTCCCACTGAAGAACTTTTGACCTTCGAGGGACTGGACTTTTCTGATACAAAGGCACCTGAAAATCAAGCTTACATGAAAGCTCTGGCAAACACGAGAGAGCCTGTAACATACAGCTCCTCCTTCCTGTGGGAAAAGCAGCTCTTTGATGCTGCGTTGGGCTCCTTTCCCAAGATGATACAGCCAGAGCACACCTGCAGAATTATTGAAAAGGCACTGAGGTCACTAATCCATATGGAGGGTATATACGGGGAATATACCAGCGGGAAATACAGTATGGGTTCTCAGGCATATAAAGATACTCCTGAAAACATTTAAATGATAGTGGGTGTTTTCTGCAGGCCATCATCAGATGAAACAGGTGACCTTGGCAACAATTGGCATGTTCTGAGCACGAGTGTGTGCAGTGAGCAGTAGTTGGGTGCCAAAATCGTTGTTCTTCTGAGGGCTAGGGGATGTATCTGGGTTTTTACAGGGGTTTATAGGGTTTTGCAGTTTGTGCCAAGTAAGGCTCAAGTTTTATGTACTTCTTGGTCGCTGCCTGATCTCAAAATAGCTGCAGTATGGGACAGCTGGAAAGGCAGCTAGAGACCCCAGTCCTTGCTGAGCTGGATACCAGATTTCAGTGGCCAAAAGTAAGGCAGAAACTGGAAAGACCAGTCTGACTTTCCCTGGTCATCGAGGCCCAGCTTTATTCCATCTGAATCCCACTATGTGCTTTGAGATGCCTCACGAGAGAAAGATACGCAGTCTACCCAAGGGCTGAGTCACTCTGAAATACTTGTTTCATTTTACCAGATAAAATGCATATAAATTAGCCCCCCCCTTACGCAGATGTGATTCATCTGGGTTCATAACTTTTTCTTTTAGCAGTTACTGCTGCAGAAATAGTTTGTGCTTTATTATTATTAATTTTCTATTTTTAAATCTTAATTTTCCTTTGCTCTTGCTATGTTCCTCTATATTACTTCTATGTCCCTCAGCAAAGACCCTTTGAGAATATCTGTTTCTATCACTCCTAGGGAACCAACAACCAGACTTTTCTTGCCGTCATTTTCCATTTCTGATGCTACTGTTGGGTCTTTTCTACTGCAACTAATCTAATAAAAGAGTACATCATGTGACTAGTGCCTTAAATTCACTCAGTGCAAGGGGAGCTACAAGCATTCAGTGTCTTGCACAATCAAATCCATAATACATCCTGTCTGTGACCTCCCATAACACATTCCTTAATTGGCTTTATTTTTCTTTTGCAAATGGAAACACATACATGTATTAGATTTTCTCATGTACTTCAGTGCATAGGTGCACTGAACAGAGGAAAGAAGCAAGCTGGCCAAAAATTAAAATATTAACTTTTTCTTTAAAATCTTCAGAAAAGGTTAACTCAAAAGATTCTTAATGAAAAAAATACTAAGAAAGTGCACAGAGTTTTATTTGAAGACTTCAGTTGTTCCATTTGGGGAGGGGGGCTTGGTGGGTTTTTTTTACATTTTTTCCCATATTTAGGCCATTTCTCTTCTTACCTTTGTCAAAACAAGTAAGTACAGAAAAACAGCTAAAATGTGGAGGAAGAGGATTAAAAAAAATCTAGAAGCCAAATGCATAACTTAATTTCATCAAAACCAATCCCATTTCTGTACACATACTTTTCAAAGCAAGGTTCAGTCTCCATAAAAATGGATTCAATTTTTTAATAATTTCTAACCAGTATTTTGCCACATTAAAATTAAATCATCGATACATTAACAGCATTTCAAGTTAAGTGTCTTGCTGTGAAGTGCTGGAACATAGACCAAAAATGCCCTCATCATGAAGAAGATGTTTTACACAGCTTTTTCCTGAACACTATATAGATTGAGATGGTGGGCAACATGAAGAGCACTTGCAGCACGGCAGCCTGAACGCAGAGTAGGCCAAATAACAACATTTTGGTCGTGTTCTACACAAGCCACAGATGGGGCTTATTATGACAGTTACATTTTTTCAATATTTTGAGATCTTGCATGTAAATACATGAAAGACTTGTTTTAAATATAAATAACTTGGTGGGAGCAATAAAAAAAAATGTTGCTGTCATCTATAAACAGATTTATCAAACCTTCTATACAGTGTAATGAAGAAATATGTGTTTTCCAATGTGTCATCCTACCTAAGTCATGAGGGGAAAAATGGAGCCAGTAATGCTGTTAGATGCAACACACTGATGGCACATGGTGATTTATTTATTGTGCACATGCACTTTTCCTTCTATAAAACAGCAGGAGTGTCTGACTAAATCCATTATGTAAATCTCAACATCTTTTTGCCTGCACTTGCAAACTCTTGTTTTTCTTTTATGCTTTTATAATCACTTTTGCCTGAACTTCATACAAGTTAAATCCAAGCACACTGCAATCCTATAAGCACTACATCTATGCACCTGATTTGAAGTAAAAATAAAACACAAATAAGACACAAAGTTGTTTTACTTAGGTGTTTGATATCAAAAGTGCTAACTCACATTCAGAATGACATTGTTTACAATTGACAATAGATCAGGGCATTCAGGAACAAAAATGGAATGCAGGAATAAAACTAAACAAAATACATAGTAGGTGATGGATAAGGAAATAACTGTATTAAGACCATTGTTGGTACCTCACTTTCTCTGGAGTGATTTAAGATGCTAGACAGTTCTTGCTATAATCTTTGTCTTACAGTTACATTGTCCTCAGCATCCTGCTCTGGGTATTCTTCACGACAGATGTGCATATAGGATCAGATTTCCAAAAGACACAGTCTTACTTAGCTGTAATTTAGCTAAAGGGATGAGAAATATTTTTGAAAGTACATACAGCCATTCCTCTTCAGCCATGGTGTAGACAAGTGTACTCTTTACTGAATAGAAAACTGGATGGATGGCAGAGCCCAGGGAGTTGTGGTAAATGGAGTCAAATCTAGTTGGCCACCAGTCACCAGGGGTGTCCCTCAGGGCCCAGTTTTGGGGCCAGTCTTGTTCAACATCTTTATCAATTATCTGATGAGGGGATTGAGAGCACTCTCAGTAAGTATGCAGACAACACCAAATTGCGTGGGAGTGTTGATCTTCTCAAGGGTAGGAAGGCTCTGCAGAGGGACCTGG